TTTTTTGTTCTGCAAATCTTAAAGACAATGATGATTTCCTTGGGGTATGCTTGATCCCAATTTGTGACGTATTACACAACAGCCAGGCTAGAGGGTGGCACCAGCTGTCATGGGGTCTTCTTGCTGATTATCATACCCATTCCAGTGAGCAACTACAAACTGCCAGTAATGAACAAAAACATCCTAAATCCTTGGCTACAATAAGAGCCAACATTTATTCATATCATCTATCTCTTAGTGCCTGCCTGAAACATTATACATATAATATGTTATATATATTATATAATATATCATGTATAATATATCATATAATATTTATATATTATAATATACAATATTATATATTGTATATAATATACATTTATATAGAAATTATAAATAAATATATAAATAAATTATATATTATATATAATTTAATATATAAATTATATATATTATAATATATTATATATAATGACATATACAATGGGTGGTAAATATCATTTAGCTTTTATAATCAAAATATAATGCTTATTTTGCACTTACATCATTCTGGCAAAGATTTATCTTCCCCACCACATACATACACACGCAGCACACAGCACACTCCTGTATGTACATATATACATACATATTCCTTTTACTAAAGTTAGAGTTTCTTTTTCCAACCACGGAAGCTACCTTCAAATAAATTCTATGAAGGACTACTCATGGTCAATACGCTTTTCAAGTATGTTATTACTGAATATCCAGAAATATCATAAAAATCAGAAATAGACATTGGTATGTATAGATACTTTTAAAAATTACAATTAAAGGGTAAGGATCTGGGTGTGGTGGTGCATGCCTGAAACCCCAGCACTTGGGAGGCTGAGGCAGGAGGATCTTTGCAAATTCAAGATCAGTCTGGGCTACAAAGTGAGCTAAAGATCAGCCTGAGCTGCATAGCAAGACCCTGTCTCAAAAAGACACAAAAAAATTAGAGGGTAAATTATAAAATCTTTAAAATTATCATTTATATGGCTTTTTTCACAGATTTATTTCAGGGTACTGGAGCTTGGAAATACATAAGTTAACACTGACAAATGCAAGTTTAGTTACAAAAATTAAAAAGATAAATTCTTTAGATGAGAGATTTTTACAGATCTGATTCTGAATGTCTGGTCTGGATACTAAGGTGTTGCATTATTCTTAGCTAGGGAAACTTTTTTTACTTCTCCTGTATCTTTTTCTTTATGCCCACAATTTCATCAGTGGATGACAATGACCCTTTTAAACTTCTTTGCCTAATGTACCAAGAAGGAGGCTCACGGTCATTTCACTAATACTTCCCAAACTACTGGAGTTTTCAACTCCAAGAACAGACCAGCTTGCCAACTGTGGCCCGTTATTTAAAGCCCCACCCAGCAGTTTACCACAGAGAATCTATTTGCAGCAATACTGGAGCCACAGCTGTAGCTGAGCTCTTCAAACCTCTTTCATGAGGTTCCTGTACCCACGTGACAAAGTGCTGTGCGCACTCACCTGTTAGAAAAGATGTGACTTAAAGGCTGAAGCTAAGAAACGTTGAACCCGGTGAAGCGCTTTCTTCTCTCAGATTTTAAAACTTCCTCTTATCCTAAACAATCAAGAAAAAAGCCAAAGTTTCATGTAAGTGAATATTGCCAATTATGTCACCATTGTTTGAATATTCTTGTGTAGGTTGCACTATTTTGTAAAATAGTTCTTAGGCCGTGTCAAGTGCTTAGAAAGATCTACAAGGGATGATCAAAACATACAGTGGATGATTAAATTCAAAAAATTATTATAGTGAAAGATACATTGCCATTTGTCTTTTTCAAAACACTCTCCCTTGCTTTGAATACACTTATCCCTTCATTTTTGTCATTTTCTGAAAGAGTTCTAGAAGCCCTTTTCAGAGAGTGTCTTTACAAGCTGTGATCAAAATACAGTCCTGCTTCTGAGTACCAAAGGCAGACTTGTAAAACCATTAGGGGTGTTTCCTCACCCACCTTACTCACTGGATCTGGCACTGGGTCAAAATAACTGTGAAAGGTAAATGTTTTGAACTGATTCAGGATATGAAGGTAGCCCGGACAGTGCAGTAACTAAAGGCACAAAAGACAACTTCCAGAACTGCTTCCAAAAGTGACAAAAACACAGCCGTGCTTGAAGTGAGGGAAGTATTTTGAAGGGGTTAATGGCGATGTGTCTTTGACTGTAATAGGTTTTAAAAAAAAAAATTGGAATATTAACCATATTTTTCAACTACACCTCATACGTTTACCCAGACTGATCTTGAATTTGCAAATTTGCACATTGTTTTTTTTCTTTTCATTTGAATTTGAGTAAGTTACTCCTGAATTAGATGCATAATTGGTTTTTGTTTTATTTCAGTTTTTTTAATTGGTTTTTGTTTTGTTTCAGTTTTATTATTTATCTCTTTATTTCTTTTGGTGGAAAGCAGGTGTCTTGGTTTGTTTTATTTGGTGTAGATACAAAGGGGAATATTCTTGTGTAGTGTCTCTGGTTCCCTTGAGTAAATTTGCAACTGTCAGTTAAAACTGAAACTAGAAATGATCCGTATTTGTAAAAGTAAGGCTGTGTCCAAACCCAACATATAGCAGCAAGTAAATTGGATGACTTAGCAGAGATCAGGTTGAAGTACTGTGCTGAGTAAGAACTGAAGGTCAGTGTTTCACTCAGATGTATATTTTTCCACATGCAGTGGACGGGGAAGGCTTTCAGTGCAAAGTTTGGACTATGTATGGAGTAAAGATGGGAAGGAGAGTGTGTGATTCTGGAAAACGGGGAAAGCACAATGTTCAGAATTGCTATGCCTGGGGCTAAATGTTGCTGGACTGTACTAAGTCCCGAGATTCATTTTGCCCTTCTGAGTGGCCGTGTGTGAGAAAGCAGCAAAGCTTTGAGTTCTAAGAGGAAAGAAAAGCCTGGAGATACAGAAATTCAGATAGAAATTAAGCAAATGCATCAAATAGCTCAGAGGATGCAGGAGGAGCAGTGTAACCTCTACTACAAATAGAAATGAGGGGAGATACCAGGACATGAAACAATTTAAATTTCTAGGTACAAAGAATCAAATAGGGTGGGTAGTTCACACAGAATGAAAGTGAAAACTCTCTCTCTGTCTCTGTCTCTCTGCCTCTCTGTGAAACTTGCATGTGTTCAGTCAACTCATTTGTGATGTGAGGCTGGAGTTGTTGGATAAACACATCTTTAATGAATTTTTGGTTCTGAATCAGTGAGCTGAGATGACAAGGGAAAAGACAGTAACTAATGTTACTCTCTCCACATACAGAGCTGAAAATTTAGAAAGGTGGCTCTCTTGGTGCTGGAGGGATTGTAAAAACTCTCTTTCACTTCAGCCACAAATTAGCAATGCTAAACTCCTTCTTGAGTCAAAGCAATTTTATATGAGGCAAAATGAGTAATATCAGGTGGCTTTCTGCTAGTTCAGCTTTGTCTGACACAAAGACTGAGAAATAGTATAGTTCAAGTAAGAAAAGGGTTCTGCATAAATTTTTTCTCTCAATTAGAATTTGCGTAACATCTGAATGGAGGAATTTTATGATTCCATTCTCCAGAATGATTCTGGTTTCAGCAATTTTGGAGGCTCCTTGAAAGCAGCTGTATGCACAGAATGCAAATCAAAGACCTAGATACTGTTTGATTTCATGGAAATAAACATGAAACTAGACGTTGTTTGTTGTTTTAGTTTTTTTTTTGGTTGAAAATCCATGTTTATTAAGAAAAGTTCATCAGTACTATTATCATGCTTAAAAAGAAATAATAGAAAACATAAAATTCTCCTCTGAGGTCTGCTCTTTTTTGTAGATGAAGGTGGTCTGTAATTCCATATATCAAATTGTAAATCAGCGTTGTTGCCCTCAAGACTACTGTTCTGCCTTGTCTGCTTCACATTTGAAATTCTCACTCATAAAGTTACTCCTCTGAGAATAAAAAAGGAAACTGGAGTATCCATGTGTTATCTGAAAGAGACAGCTCAGAAAGCAATTATAATTACGTATGAGTAGATATGAGGATTACCCAGCAGCTGAAGTCATGTTTAAAGAACTTTAAAAGAACAAGCAGGCAGGTTGAGAGAAGCTTAGGCTAATGTTAAGTGTCAGGTTAAGGCTGCAGAAGTAGTTTTCGAGCACGTGTCTCTGTGTGCGTGTGTGTGAGTGTGTGTTTGTTGTCTGTACCTGTGTGTGTGTGTAGAACTGTATAGAAAGCCATATTTGTTCTGGTTTTTTTTTTTTTTGTGGTTTGCTTGCCAGGACTGAGTTAATGAAGCAGATATCAAAAACACATAATGAGATATGGAAATAGCCTATACTAAAGAAAAATTTAAAATCTACAAACAGGTATGGATATGAGTTTGATTTGAAATATATGGCATGTATGCTCTGGGGAAAGACTGCCAGGTTTTCAAACTTAAGTGAACATGGGAAAGTCACTTAGCTCTGCTGTGCCTCAGCTGTCTGATTGGTAAAACAGGGCTATTTTTACGTCTTCATTATCAACCTATCTACAGAAGTAAATGAGCTAGCATCTGCGAAGTGCTTTAAATTGTTTTTAGCATAAGGTAAATACCAAATGTTCATTATTGGAGATGTGTAAAATTCTGTGTGGTATATTATTAATCTAAGTTAATTTACTTTTGCTTTGTTCATCTTTCCCTTATTTCTCAAATAATTTTTAAAGATAACTGTGACATTAAGATATCATTAAACAAATTTCCTCCCACCGTCTTTAGTTCTGGTCAAAGCGTTAGTGTTATAGTGAGCATTTCCTGTCCTGTGGTTCCTGGAACACCTTAGAAGCTTCTAATTTTACTGCTTCTTCTGCAACACATGCATCGCACCAGTAAAGGATTCAAGAATATTATTTAAATACACAATTTTCTGCTAAGTGCTTTAAATTGTTTTTGGTACAGGTAAATAATAAGTGTTCACTATTTGTAGATTTGTAAAATTTCTTTTTGTTTTTCTTTTTAGTTTTTTTCACCTTTAGCCTTTTGCTCAGCTCTCCACAATTCAGTATCAGATTTCTTAAATGACTACACTCCGTAACTTCTCTGCATGAGCTTGGAGTATCGCTTGTCATGGCAGGTATGTGCAGCCTACTTGAAAAATTAATAAAAAAAAAAAACTAGAAAATCTGTCTCAGCGCTTAGCTAATCTCAGGGCAGTAGTTTAAGAAAAAAAAAGACAGGGGCTGGGGATTTAGCTCAGCGGCAAAAGCACCTGCCTGGCAAGCGCAAGGTCGTGAGTT